CATTAGAGTGGTATCATCTGCATATCGGAGGTTGTTGATATTTCTTCCGGCAATCTTAATTATGGCTTGGATTCATCCAATCCAGACTTTCACATGATGCATTCTGCATATAAGTTAAATAAGCCGGGGGACAATATACAGCCTTGTCGTACTCCTTTCCCAATTTTGAACTAATCAGTTGTTCCATATCCACTTCTAACTGCTGCTTCCTGAGAAATCTATGAGATAGATATGGTGGTCAGGCACTCCCATTTCTTTAAGGACTTGCCATAGTTTGCTGTGGTCCACACAGTCAAAGGCTTTTGCATAGTCAATGAAGCAGAAGTACATGTTTTTCTGGAACTCTCTGGCTTTCTCCATAATCCAGCGCATGTTAGCAATTTAGTCTCTAGTTCCTCTGTCCCTTCGAAATCCAGCTTGTACTTCTGGGAGTTCTTGGTCCACATACTTCTGAAGCCTACCTTGTAGGATTTTGAACATAACCTTGCTAGCCTGTGAAATTAGTGCAATTGTACGGTAGTTGGAGCATTCTTTGGCACTGCCCTACTTTGGAATTGGGATGTAGACTGATCGTTTCCAATCCTCTGGCTACTGCTGAGTTTTCCAAACTTGCTGGCATATTGAGTGTAGCACCTTAACAGCATCATTTTTAAAAGATTTTAAAGAGTTCAACTGGAATGCCATCACCTCCACTGGCCTTGTTGTTGGCCATGCTTTCTAAGAACCACTTGATTTCACTCTCCAGGATGTTTGGCTCAAGGTCAGCAACCACACTATCTGGGTTGTCCGGGATATCAAAATCTTCCTTGTATAATTCTTCTGTGTCTCAGAGAGAGAGATGTAGAAATCTGCCAGGTGCAAACTGGTTCTTAGCACCTGTCAGCTGCTTTCTGCCTGCCGGTTTCCCTCTGATTTCAGACAGATAAGTAAATGACAGCACAGTACTCTCACCCAGACATGCCTTGTCCCCCGAAGGCTGTCTGATGTATCTAAAATCTACACGGCACAAACTTTTCATAATCCTCTATTGCTCAGACACCAAAGAACATCCCCAGGTTCTCTGATGCAACAGAGGATGTATGTGTCCAATCATTATGAATACCCATTTTCCAGCACAAAAAAATATTTTTGTAGAATCCTAATTTTATGCTAATGAGAAGTGAGCCTAGGTAGAAGGGTTCAAAACAGAATCCGAAGCCATATGAAGGGTGGCCGTCCACCTGTTTTCCAGAGCCAATGATCTGCCAAAGATCATTGCTATTGGCCATGTTGCTGGTAATGAAATTGGCAATCACCTGGTCCATGGCTGAGGATATCAGAATATGAAGACCAACAGCAGCCAGAAGGGTTGCCTTGGGCCACTGGACCCTCGTGGGAAGCAGGTGGCCGGAGAGGAGAGAAGCAGAGACAAGAACATAATCAGCCGATTTTGGCCAGGTTAGACTGGCTACCAGTTGCTGCCCGGGCCCAATTCAAAGTGCTGGTCTTGACATATGAAGCCCTAAACGGCTTGGGTCCTGGATACCTGAAGGACCGACTCCTTCCATACGAATCTACCCGGCAACTGAAATCTTGCCAGAAGGCCCTCCTGAAAGAGCCATCCCTCAGTGAGGTGAGAGGGGTGGCCTGTAGGCGGAGGGCCTTTTCGGCAGCTGCCCCCCCGTCTTCGGAATGCCCTCCCAAACGACATCTGACTGGCGCCAACGTTAGTGGCATTTCAATGCCCTCACAAACGACATCCGACTGGCGCCAACGTTAGTGGCATTTTGGCGCCAAGTTAAAAACTTCTTGTTCCGGAAGTTTTTTAACTGAAGTTTTTTAACTGAAGGTTTCCATTGTTCCGGAAGTTTTTTAACTGAAGTTTTGAACTGAAGGTTTCCCATTTTAATTAATAAGTCATGGATCCAGATTGTTTTTTTGTAGATTGTTTCTGTTTTTATTTTTGCTTTTGTAGAGTAGATTGGTTTCAGTGGCTGTTTTTAACTGAACTCTTTTAATTGATGTTGGAAGCCGCCCAGAGAGGGCAGCATACAAGTCAAATAAATAAATAAATAAATAAACAAATACATAAATACAAAGAGGCCGAAGAAAGGAGTCCAAAACACAAGTGGAAACACTACGTGGCACCACTCCTTGGCTCCCGGAGGCCTCAGATTTGCTTTTGGTACATCCCACTCCTAAACTAAGGCTGGGCCACTTCTAGAGGTCTGGAGGGTTCACACTCCTATCTCTGGATCTTGAAGGGCTCTTGGCCTACAAGTCACACATGTATCATCCATGCAGCAAATCATCCCATTAGGCACACAAAGCAATTAGTGCTTTGGCACAATACTTCCTGAGTTCATGAACCAACATCCTGAAATTGGCAAAAATGTTACGTATTCACGGCCGAAGGCACTTGAGACTAGCAAAGGTGGGTGGGTAGGTCAGGCGTATAATAATCCTGCCAACATGATTGCCAAAGAAGCTGTTAGGCTGCCTACTCAGAGCCATGTACGTCCCAAGGTGCCTGGGTCTGTCAAAGTGCAGTGCAATCCTTCTTTTATTCAGAAATTAAGTCCCACTGCATTGAGAGAAGCTTCCTCCCCACCGGGTGTCTTTGGGATGATACTTTGCTGACCACACAGCCGCAAGGTAGTTGCACCTAAGAGATCCCTACCCTCAAACTCAGAAATTTTACTAACAGAGCATAAGGGGGAGGGCTTTCGACAAAATGCTGCAGTAAGCCCAAGATGATACCTGTGTCACTTCTGCACAAGATCCAAGAGGGTCTTTCCCATCTCCCCACCCCACCAAGCATCACATCGACTCGTAAGAGACTAGAAGACCTTGAGGACTGGTACAGTCTTGACTCATACATTTCTGACCCCACTCAGGCACAGATACCTTCGTGAAGACAAAACTGATGAAGTCCAAACCAAACCAGAAAGCATACTGGGCCTCAGAAACCCAAGTTCAAGTTCAGGTACAAGCTCTTTAGGTTACCTTGGGGCAAATTCTGTCTTTCAATGTTTGCTCACTCCCCCACTGTCCCTAGTGAAAACTGAACAGTGTTTCTCGAAGCAGGGAGGTGAGGCTACTTAAGGACTGCAAAGCAGTTTAACTGGAAAAAAGAAAAAAGAAAACCAAGAACATTTGATTCTAACAAAACTCTCAGCGTTTTGGCTTCTGGGAGATGACATTGGCACACACTGCTCAAAATCAATGAAGATGAGAACAAAAACAAATTTAAAAACTCTATGGTAGACAATCTCAAGGTTTCATGAAAAAATAGAAATACTTGAGGCAACCGGCAACAATGATTAATCAACACCATCATGAGTCCATTAATATACTAATTGAAAAAAATCTGGGCCAGTTTTTAAAAATTGAAAAGAAGTCTCCACCAATGTTTTAGAAATTCACCATTTTAAAAGAAAGAAGACAAAGTCCTATCCCTGTTCACCAAAAGCATATTCAAAAGCCTTAAATTTCCAAACATGTCTCATCATTTTGGGAGTGGGGGTTAAAACTTCCTGATGTTGACAGTAACTTGGGTCAGCAAGGCACACAGCAGCAAGAATTTTATATGTGAAACAGTCGAAAAAAGGAGGAGACTCCAACAACTCAGGAGTTAATAGAAAAAATTATTGAAGCAGCAGAGATGGATATTTTAACTGAAGTATTAAAACACAAAGACATTGCTGAGGTTAGGAAAAAGTGGGAACCTTTCTATAATTGGATGAGAGATGAGAATACAAAAGGGTTAAATTATGAGAAAGAAAATATAAGATATAATTTTAGATTTTAAAGGTTTAGAAAAAATAGTAAGATAAGTGTGAAGTAAGTTTAGTAAGAAACATACAAACAAATGTAATAACGATATATACTGTTCTCTATCACATTCTGTATTTGCATTTACCCCAATACTGTACCTTGATCCAAGTCCCCTTCCCTATAATCTTCCCTTACCCAATGGAAATGAATAAAAAATTAAAAAGGAAAAAAAGGCAAGTCTCACTGAGCAGAAAAGGACTTGCCACCGCTGCTAAGTTGGTGGATACTCAAATCGTTTTAATTTTACTGAAAATACACACATCGTTCAAAATCATCTGGTTCACTACTGGATTCCTCTAAGATTTCCATTAGGCAGGCAAGCAGGTGGGCAAGCTGATACTGCACAACCATTCTTACCACGGGACTGAAGGATGCTCCTCACAGAGTCAAAGCCTTCCTTGGCCAATGAAAGGTCCAACGCACCCATCTGCAGATCCTCCAGCACAGACTGGGCTGTATCAAAGCTATCGTTCATTGTAGTGATGATTACACCAGTGGGGCCCCTCTTTACCCAGCCACTACAGTAGAGCCCTGGAAAAGATAGCATGCAGTCAAACAAACGTAGCTGTTGGCTCCAGTTCTTCACTTTAAAGAAGACCAAAAGAACTGCTGTGAACCTGCTTTCTCTGTCATGATCAAGATAAATGCTGAGGAGCCGTACCCCACAGCTGAGTGAGAGGTCATTCATGCAATGCAGTGGCCCTTCAAGGCCTGTTTGTGCAACTGCAACAAAGTGGTCTCTGGCCGGCTCAGTGTTCCTGCAGAGGAGCAAACAATCCAAGCTTCTTTCTTAAAAAAATAATAAAACATCCTAGAATTCGAGCCATCCATCTGGGCTATTAACTTAGCAGCATTCCTTTCAGAACACCTCCTCCTCCTTCTCCTCTACCAACCTGGTGCCCCAAGCACTCTGCCCATGTTGTTGGGGATGGTGCCCTGCTTGGGGTCAAAGGGCACAGCGGGGTCGATTGGGAGGCTCCTGTAACCGATGCTGCTGAGAATCAGTCCACACTTCAGCTCCTCAATCTCTCCAGTGGGAACGGCCTTTGCGGTGTCCCTCGAACCCTTAAAAGGAAAAGAAAAAAGGGGAAAGACAAATGGTTTTGGAAGGCATTGCATAACAGTCTCACAGCTACCATCCAGGCTTCTTCTTCTTTATCTTTTCAGCTTATAGACTGCCCTAGAGTGCATGCACTCTCTGGACAGTTCGCAACACATTAGAACCACACTGTAATCAATGAAACCGAGTACCTAACAATAAATAGCATAAAACAGAATAAAACTCAGCCCCTAGCTAAAAACCTAGCTTAAATAAATTAAACAAATTAAACAGGTTTGAGCATCTCAGGGGGCAAAGCACAAATAAAAAGTAGCTTTAAATCATAATGTGTTTACTATTTTCTTAAAAGCTGAAAGGGAAGGCACCTGACGAACCTCTGTGGGAAGCCTGTTCCAAAGGGATTAGATTAGATCAGTCTTGAGAGACTATGGGAACGTGCTCTGTATGGAGGACTTGGAACAGCGTCTAGTGTGGCTGAGAAGGCCAATTCAAGAGTGACCATCCCTTCCACGCTGAAAGTATCTTCAGTTCTTCCAAAGGGAGGGGGCCATGATTTTTTTTTAAAGCATAGTTCCTAGTATTAACTCTTTCAGCCTCTTTAGGTGTCACAATTCTTAACCCCTGGCATAACCTGGAAACTCCTCATACTGCAGCTAGAGTTTGGAACGTGGGGGGGGGGAAAACAACTTCAGAAACCTCCAGAAGCAGCAAGACCACCACCACCCTTTCCCTCCAAAACAACCAGCCATGGGAGCTTCCACCCAAAGAGCCTCATGCAAACTCCCTGGGTGTTCCTAACAGAAAAGCAGCTCTAATGATAACAAGTCCTTTACCACAGCAGGGAGCAGCAGCTTGATCCTGGTTCCAGGCCCCTTCAGTTCACTCACAGTCTCTATCCTCAACCCCTACATCGCCATCTTGGCTATGCTGTTCAGTTGTGTTATCAGAACATCCTCCCATCACTGATATGACTACCAAATTGATGGAGAGAACTATTTTTGTGCCACGAGGCAGAAAATGTTTCCTCAGGGAGACATCGTGCTGGCTTGCCGGGAATCTGCCATTTCAACTCGCAGAAAGCAGGCAATTACTCTGGTAGTTCTAATTAGATTGGGAGTATAAAGCCATTTTAAGCTTCATGCCGAAAGACTCCTGGGGGAATCCCCAAAACGAAATGGATGCAACAGACTGAGAGCCAGACTGAACAGGAAAGGCAAGAAGGAGGTGGGACACCAAGAGGAAATCCGGAGCTCGTACTTCCAACCGGGTGACAGCCATTCGGATCGCTCGTGCCTGTGTTCCATCTGCAGTAGGCAACACCTCCAGTGGGCTGCGCAAGAACTTCAGGCTCCACTCTCGGGAGGCCGATGCCCAACGGCCTGCCACTTCCTCCCCAGGATCTTCCAAAGCTGTTTTAGCCATCAGCTCAGTCAGCCGTTTCCTAGGTCTGGGAACATCTGAAAATTACAAAAGCACTGCAGAAGCAAGCCCAAGGGGACCACCAGAACAACAGCTTCCCCACTTCTTAGTTCAGATGGAGATGAAAGAACATCCAGAAGGAAGATTATCTCAGCCTATGCATATCTGATGGATTATCCGGTTACCTGTTCACTGCTGTCCCAGTTTCAAGGTGATGGTTTTAACCTACAAAGCCCTAAATGGTTTGGGACCTCAATATCTGGCTGAGTGCCTCCTTCCAGTTAGGTCTGAATGTCCAATAAGATCGTCACAGGCAGGGCACCTGGCAGTTTTTACCTCAAGAGAGGCCTGAAAAACAACCACCAGAAATCGGGCCTTCTCGGCAGTTGCCCCGCAACTGCCGAATATCCTCCCACCTGAAGTTCACCAGGCTCCCTCAATAGGCACCTTTAAAGATATTAAAGACCCGGATGTTCTTTCTCAAACAACTACCGATGCAACAGTATCTCCAATAATGCACTAAATTATATGCCACTGTATTTTATGCTATTAATTATATTAATTGCATGTATTGTGTTCACTTTATTTTTTTAACTTTTTATTTCTATAACACACACATACATACAAAACAAACAAAAACATATGAAACAATCAAAAGACATATAAAACAAACAAAACATATAGGTGTGGAGGTATTTCACATTCAAACTTATCCATTATATAATTCTGACTACAACCGACCTTATGCCCTAGTCCCATACTAAACCATACTACAGTATATCCATATGTCTCTATTCATATTATATTTCATATCCCTATTTCAGATATTTAGTTCAATATCTAACATCCTAAATTTATAGTAATGTTTATAGATTCTTTCTCCTGCATTTTCATCTATCCAATTATATTTCAGAATATCATACTTTACAATCTTCAAAATCAACATTCCCCAAAATACAAAAGGATATATATGTCTAACCTTATCTATATGCATGTTATAAATTCATATACAGTCGTGCCCCGCTTAACGATTACCCTGTATAATGACGAATCCGCTTCACGACGATGTTTTTGCGATCGCAAAACAATGTTTTAAATGTTTTTTTGCTTTGCGAAGATTGGTTCCCTGCTTCGGGAACCGATTCTTCGCATTACGACGATCAAAACAGCTGATTGTCAGGTTTTCAAAATGGCCACTGGGTGCTCAAAATGGCTCCCCGCTGTGTTTTTGGACGGATTCCTCACTCTACAGGCACCGAAAATGGCCGCCCCTATGGAGGATCTTTGCTGGACGGTGAGTTTTTCAGCTCATTGGAACACATTGAACAGTTTTCAATGCGTTTCAATGGGCTTTTTTATTTCGCTTTACGTTTTCGCTCTACAGCGATTTCGCTGGAAAGAATTAACGTCATTAAGCGAGGCACCACTTTATGTTTAATATCTCTATATGGGTGCCTCAAAATCAATTTCCTCTAAATATTATGTTCATCATAAACATTTCCGATTTCATCGTTAAATATATTGTACTTATCTACCAATAAAATCCAAACGTCCTTCACTTTATTTATGATATTTTAATTTGAACTTCAACTTTGATGTGTTATTTTGTTATTTTATGGTTTTGTTACTGGCCCTGGCTGCCAGAAGGGCAGTATATAAATCAAATAAATAAACAAAATAGTGAGTTAGGTAATTGGTTGCGGAGCCAGAAATTGTTCCTCATAGTGTAGCCCAGAAGAGCCAGCCTGTGTGGCCTTGGGGGCAAGCTGCACAGTCCCAGGATGCCCCCAGAAGAAGGGAATGGCCAACCACTTCTGAGTATTCTCTACCAAGAAAACCCTGAGAAGAGTTGCTATAAGTCAAAATTGACTTCACAGCACACAGTTAATTTTAAAAAATGCATATCTGAAAAGCTGACAATCTTCCATGGGAATTCTGCAAGCCAAAGGAAGGATATAAGAAATTAAAGTTAGGTCTCCTTTAACTCCGGTAGCTGGCGCTGGGCTCAGGAACAAAATATGAGGAATAGGTCAACAAGATTCTCCTTCCTCCCCAGCCCTTCCTCTTGAACAGATCCACTTGCAATGAGGGACTGCAATCTGCTATGCAGAAGGATCAAGCTGAATCTCACTTCCTCATGAGCAGATTTCTGGATGGGAAAGCAGCCAACAATCCACACAATCTGAAGTTCCAGAGTCATGTATGCTTATTAGGGCAGGCCCCCCCAAACAATAGACTACCTCAAATTAGCCACAAGAAACATGTCCCATTGATTTTGGTAGTGGGTCTATTCTCACGCAACTGAAAGTTGGTTCCAACCCAAAGTCTGCAGAAAACCTAGAATGAACTCCAAAGGGGAGAATTGCAGTCAATTAGCAAGCTATTCCCTTTTCCATTAATGAAAGGAGGAAAGTTATTTGAGTCTTAGTCAAACAAGAAGGAGTCCTAGCTAGCATGAAAGGCAGACTACAGTTACATGTCCCAAATACAGCTGCATCCCAAGGGAGCGACCATGGGCATGAGGGTCTTCTAGGACTGGATGCCAAGAAGACCTTTTCATCTGCTTAAAAATGTAGCTGGGGGAAGGAGATGACAAAAAAAGCTGATTTGGACTAGGGCCAGAGCCACTGAAAGAAAAAGTGTAGCTCTTGGTTTATACTGTCTGCCTAAAATCACTATGAGCCCTGTTCCCCACCCTTGCAGGTGAAGAGATGGGTACTTTAAGCAAAGGAGAAAAAGAAATACTGTACATTGAGAAAATCACACAGTTCTCACCTCACATCTGACTTGGCCCTGGCAGTTCAGCAAAGCAAATATTGTTCTCGTGGCTAGCTCAATGAAATGAGAAGGGGAAGCTTCAGTTTTTAAAACTTGATTTTTTTCCATTTTGAGGCAAAAACAGCATTCTGTTTTCAGCTGAAGATCTCCAGCGTTCACTTCTTGAATGTAATCATGTGAAAGATCATAGCAATTAACAATATCAGCACAAAAAACACCTACAGTTGAGGTGTACAGAATACAGCCTCCTTCAGTTTATGCCACACAAAACACACCTCTGACTAACCCCTCTGCACATTCCCCTTCCCTCCCCATTTTTCGGTGAACTGGAGATGCAGAGAATAACTCAGTTGAACACAGCACAAACGTTCCCTGGAGGTGTCTACAGAGAAGCCTCTGGAAGTCTCTGATCCGAGAGCCATCTCAAGGTTAGATAGCTGCTGTTGCAGCTCATTGCCCTTTGGAGCACTTTGGTTCCATCCAACAATATGCACACATCAGTCACTTTATTATTATAAAGCGATACTCAACAGGAAACCGAGACACAACAGGAAGCATGCTTTGCACGCTAATAACCCAGTGAACCAAGCCGCTTCCATCCAGCATACGCCCGCATGGCGAACAACTATCCTGGGTTAACCTTCAGGCCAACTCCCACGCAATTCAGAGACAGGGAAATTCACCACACAGAGTTTCCTGTGGCCTCGATCATTAGTCACTCACTGGCTAGTAATGTATGAACCATCTGAGAGGTACAAAGTGCTGCACACAATTAAAGATACTAACAAGACTGTCATTTAATTGGATGACACATTCCATGCTCTGAGGGGATGATTCAAAGACACAAAGAGACACCGTGAGAATCAGAAAGATCAAATAAAAATTGTTCACTGGGGACAGAGAAGCCTTTGGCCCTCCAGATGTTTTAGATCACATTTCTCAAAAGCCCTGGCCAAGATGCCCATTATACCATAAAATGCTAAATGATAAGGATGATATTTGTAGTCTAAAACTTCTGAAGGCAAAAGTTTGCACCCTTGCTAGTTCAGATCCTGTGCGGGGGTTCCTTCATGTCCTGTGCTTTCATTGGAGCCCAGCTTCTCTTCATGCCTCCAGCCACTCCCTCGAAATGGAAATGTGGGCCTCTGTTGTAGTGAAAAAAGCTTCACTTGCCCCAGCCATACAGGCAAAGTTAAAGACTGCAGTTTTTTTCCCTCACCGTCAGAAATGGTGAGGAATTTCCTGGTGCTCCTGACAGACTGCTTGCACTGATGAGAAGAATGTATTTTTTTCCTTTTCTTTTCTTGCACAAAACTGACTCATATTTTTGCAGAACTGTACCATGTGTGGAATTATACAAACTTTGCAAGCTGCCAAACAGGAGTATTCCAGAACAGTAGTTCCTAACATGCGTTCTTGGACTGCAACTGCCAGAAGCCTTCACTACCAACTATGTCGGCCGGGGTTTCTGGGAGCTGCAGCCCAAGAACACCTGGGTCACCTAAGGTTGGGGACCACCATTCCAGAATATCCCAGCCAGCATAGCATGCTGAACAGGGAGACTTCTAGATTCCCCTGATTCAAATGCCATGCTGGCTGGGGAATTCTAGGAGTCCACCTGGATGTTGTAGTGCAAAAAAAGAGTAACTTTGATACATTTACTGTAGCATCTGGCATTTCGATAGTATGGCTTGCAATGGCCGCTGATTCAGCAGCAGCAGGAGAGTTCAAGGACTACATGTGGCTTTAGTGTTGTGCATGAATGCTAGAGACATGTACACTCCCAAAACCTTTATTTATGGGCGGGGGGGGGTATTTACAAGATGCTAAAAGGATGTGGCATTACTTTTTAAACAGGCACTGGTTGATCCTCACCTTTGATTGCCTCTTCAAGGCCCTTGAAGTCTGCAGGACTCAGAACAGGTCTAGCACTTGGCAGGTTGATCATTTCCCGCAGTTCCTGAGGTTTTCAGACAGACACACATTAGACCGCATACTTCATGCCTGTGAGTAGCAGAAATATGTAATTCTGGGAAGCTGCAACATAATAGCTTTTAATTGTAAGTGTATAGTTTAAACTTGCATATATATTTATTTATTTACTCACTAATGACATTTGGAAACTGCTACATAACTTCTCTAGCAGTTTATAACAAACAAACAAACAATCTTATCTATCTGTCTGTCTGTCTTTTCATTCATTTGAACCACTTTAGAAACAACCATTGCCTGAAAAGCAATGTTAAAATACCACAAATGTCTTAACTAAATAATACAATACAAATTTATTCTACAGCCAAAGGCCTGATAACTTAACTAAATAAGTAAAGACACCACCATGTTCTGCTCTGGAATCAAGGCATGCCAGCACATTAAGTTTTCTCAGTCTCACTGCTGTACATGCAAGCAAAACTGCACCAAGCAAATCAAGATACTTTTCAATGACAGCTCTGTCTCTCTTTCCCGGCTCCAACACCTAATTTCTACTAGGTAGGCTGACCTCCCAATTCGTGATCCCTGCATGGTCTACTGATTGGAGAAGGTTAGCAATGCAACCATGTGTGAATGCTCACTCTAAGCTTTTCTTCCCCCTTCCACACAGACCCACCTCTTCAGAAGCATGAGGCTTGGGGCCACTCCAGTGGACACAGCACCTAAGAGGCAAGGTAGCTGTGGTGGGAGTGCCACCTCTACTTCCAAAGAGCAATCAAGTGACTTCAGAAGTTAGTTGGAGAAAAAAAAAGCATGGACCTCTCCTTTGAACTAACCTGAACATTTACATTACAGAGGGAAAACACCCTTGTTGAAGCAAAACATTACTGACTCAAACCACCACCACCCAGCACCAAGATTTACCTTGATGGTGAAGGCCACCTGGAGAGGACCCCTCCTCCCTATAAGGCACACCCGCTTCACTTTGCTGCGAGCCAAGGCCACAAGCGCGTCTTCGGTGATATCTGTTTTCTAGACCAGGAGAACGACAGTGCGATTGGGGATTATTAGGGCAGAAAACAAGGAAAGAGAAGAGCAGTGTCCATCCTTTGATCAGTTGCCCCCACAAATGAACTACAAGGCCCTGAACACAGACATAACAAGGCCGCTGCATTCACTGCACAGATCAGGACAGTCGTATCCAGTTTTCAACACACTGCTGCCCAGCCCCCCACTCCCCATTTTCTGGTATCACAGAACCAGCTGTGGCGACAGGGGGTAGCCTCTTATGAAGGGAGCCTCTCATGAGTCCCTTTCATAAGTTATGTGCCACACTCAGGATTCAAACCCCAACTTTAAGGAATTCTAAATACTGCAGGCTTAATCAAAAGTGTGGGGTAATGTGAATAGCCAACATTGCTCTAAGGAGCAAAGCAATAGTATCCACACTGTTGTTAAGGAAAAACATTGAAACGACTTGCCCAATTGTAACTAGAAATCTGAGGGGACATGAGAAGGATTATTGAAAAGCACAAGAAACTGTCACATAGGAGAAACAGAAGTTCCAATAAGGCAAACATCTCTAGGGCTTTCTCAATTCATGGGTTTCTCTCATTTGCTAATGCTGTGAGGCATTTTTTTACATGGCTCAGAAAGATTAATTCTGTGGGACAACAACTCCCAGAGAACTTCCAGTGACGTGTAGCGGACAGAGTGGTGGGCTCAAATTCCCACCTAGCCATGGAAACCAACAAGGCATGTGGGTGTGGCAATGTAAACCTATTCACTAAATATCTTGCATACTTTAAAAACACAATTAAAGTTGTCATAAATCATATGCAACTCCACACAATGTAACAGATAATTCCCCAAACTCCACTGGAAGCTCTGGGAGTTCCAATCCAAAAAATGGAACTTTCCCAAGCATTGGCTGTTTATATAAGAATCCCCAAAAGGCCCAATAATGTCTTCAACATCGCTGGCACTGTTTTCAAGCTATAGAAGTGCTCATAGATATTTGGGTGCCTTTCACCCAAGGCAGAATAAACTGATTTAATCAGTGTCACATAGTTGGATTTAGTCCAAATAATAATAATAATGGTAAGAGAAAGACTGACTGTCGCTGGTGATGGATGAATAAAACTCAATTCCTTTCCTCCCAATTCCCTCTTGGTATATCAATGAAAAACAGAGGCTGCCCCCTTGTGTTTCATTTAGGTACGGGATATACATTCAAATAAACCAAGTCAGGAACTGCTGTTCTCTCTCCCTCACAGCTTCAAGGTCTCTACCAAGACAGAAAGACAAAGCTGCCTCCGACATATGTGTGCCTCCGACATATGCCGCCTGCCACCCCCATATATGTTTTTTTCCCCTGGCCATTCAGTTCCTGCAGAATGGAAAAACATTTAGAAGATGTTCCCTCCAGTAAACTTACCACGCCTCATTCTACCTCACAAGATGCCTAGAGATCTAACCAGGAGCAGACTGAGAAAGATTAAAAGAAAAGAGTGCCAGAGACACAAATCGTTCTTCCCTCCCAAAGAAGGAAGACTATGTCTCGGTGAGGGCAAAGTGGAGAAACTGGAAGCAGAAAAGCAAGAATTTAAATGTTCGTTGTATTTAAGAAGTAGCAGAATGCGAGGCAAAAACGATCTGTTTTGTCCTCGTTAGTGCTGATCCTGGTGGCGGTGGGCTTTAAGGGAGCCCTTCACACATGAAGAGATAACCTGAGAACAAGAGAAGACTGATTTCCTTGCATCAAGTGTCTTAGCCACCTTCATGTTGAGCAGCAGCCCATCTTACATGCACATACAGCCAGCCACGATGCTGCTTCAGTTCCACCAGAGCCCTCACATTAATCCCTCCCTTAGCCCAAAGGCCTTCAGTCGCAGGTGCAGGATGACCACTTCCCCACAGAGCTAAGCAGAAGGGCAGCTCTTTATCTGCAAGGCAAGAGTCCAACCAACTAGCACCAGTCCTATCACTGTTGTTAATTCAAGATTCTGCTCAAGTCTACCTTGAAGCACAAGCCATCTACAGAGATTAAAAAAGGATTTTTTTTAATCTTCTGAGTCATTTTACACAAAGCCTTGTTATCCTGAGCCCCCAAATCTTAAAACCTGCGGGTGTTGGTTCAGAACTTACCCGAAGAATTTCAAGAGGCGATAAGAGAATCCGTGCCACATCCAAAGCGACATTCCCGTGTCCTAGGACCACGGCGGTCTCACTGCTCAGGTCTGGTTTCAGCTGCAAAAGTAGAGAGATCCTTCATGTCGGCCACTTCAAACACTCTTCACACTGCATTTCCTCCCAGTCCAAGCTGACATAGAACTGTTCCACGGGCACAGGACCACCAACCCACGTGGTCCTGAACCCAGTTCTTTCCTCTTGGTTTGACAGAATCCTGTCAAGGAGCTCAACAGGACCCTAAACCTTAACCAGCCCAGAAGAGGCAGGAAAATGACCACAATACCCCTCACAATAAACAGGCAGTGAAAAACTGTTAAGTTTTATGGAGACAACTCGCATTTCCTATTTTCCCCACGTGCATATCAGTTCTCTCTTCAAATACCGTATACGTCATGCAAAATGGGCCAAACATACACGTGCTTTTTCACCTCTACCACCCCTGAAATGCACACAGGGGCATTTGTCTCGTGCTATGGAATCCACACAAGGTTCCTCAAGCCACTGACATTCATGCAGACATGGTTTCCTCTGTAGCAGGGAGGCAAGCTCTCAAGAGCCACAGGAACTGGCTCCATGACTGAGGGCACGGCTGCAGTAGCAAAGGTAAAGTGCTTGTCGCAGTCCATTAGTATTCTTGGCAGGTCGGAGGGTGCGTTATGGGCCGTCAAGTCACTTCCAATTTACGGTGACCCTAACATGGCCTTGCCATCGCCACACTCCAGGGAGTTTCCATAGCCAAGTGGGGACTTGAACCCAGGTCTCCTGAGTCCAAGTCTGAAACTCTAACCATTACACCACTTTGGCTTTCTCTATGCTATCCCTCCAAAGGCAACAAAAGTAACTTTTTTGGACTGCAGCTTCAAAAATAGTCCATAATGTTGCCCAGCTTTAGTTCCACCCTCCCCATACATACCCCTGGCCCCTATTTTATCCCATTTGTGACCCAGAGAGCTTTGTGGTTACGAGGGGATTTGAACCTGAACCCTTCTAGCCCTTGGAACTGCTGACAACATAGGCTGGTTCTCATTTTATGTGCTGTGGAAAATTAGCCCGCTTCACCTTTCAGCACTACGAACATGCAAGGGAAAGGAAGATGTTCCTTCTTTCTTCCTCTCCATCTAACTGGAGGAAAGAGAAACCCCAAATAGTTCCCCCCTCAGGCTCCCACATACATAGAAAGGGTTCTTTTGCAAAGCTGGAGACCAGATCTCTCCCCCACTCCAAACAGCTATGCTAAGAATTTGGAAAAGTTACTTTTTAAAAATCACATATCTGAAAATCTCTGATCCAGCATGGTACGGCCATGTTCCCTGGGGGTTCTGCCAGCAGCAGTCCAAAATCGTAAGACTTCTAAACTCTGCTCCTATTTCCCACAAGGAACTACCCTTCCCAAGGAAGAGGAGTTCTGGACCAGATCCAGGTCCATTTCACTTTCGTTGCTCTGCCATTCTTGCATTCAGCCAGAAGAGACCAAAGCCACCTACACTGCTTTGTTGTGTGGAAATTGTGCCGATTTTCTACACCTGACAAACATACAGTACTTCCTATCTGTAAGTAAAACATTTTCTGTGTGAAACATCGTGGCCTCTTCTTCATCCCACAGGTATCCGTGTCTCTTTGAGCTTTCCTTAGGGCACCTCTGCAAGAGGGAGCCAGTTAATCCTCTCTCTCTTCTGGATGTGCGAATTGTTCGCATTTGTAAATCTGAGGAGGATTTAATTTGATGTATGTTAATCTTTTCCAACTGCAGGCCTTTCAGCCAGCCACTAAGCTGAAGCTGGATGGCTGCGCTGAAACATGTGGAAAAAAGCCCACGGAGGTGGATGGGTGGGTGGGAAAAAGCAGGGGAGCCCACAGCCTTACATCTTTGTTCTCAGGAAGGCCGTTGTACCATCCCACAAAGGCTCTGGCCGTGTAAACTCCTCCAAGGTCCTCTCCTGGAATGCCAAGCTTCCGGCTGTCCTCAGCTCCATAGCTCTGGGGAGAGAGAGAGAGAGAGAGAGAGAGAGAGAGAGAGAGGTCAGAAGGTGGGGGAAAAACTTACAGATTTTACACAGTGCAAATCTTTTGCACAAATATACACACTTCCAATTCTTCTGACACCAACCTTTTTTCTTTCATAAAGAAAATGCTGCAAAAGGTTCGTTTATTTGAAATATTCACATGCCACCTTTCTCCTAATGGATCCAAGGTATTAACAGTATTAAAAGTATTCTCTGGGAATCCAAAATCCACACCATTTCTGTGAGAGCAAGAACAGTTAAGACTGCTCTGTTTCTTTCAGATCTTTCTTCCTCCTTGCCCCCCCCAAAGCTCTTGTTGCATCTTTTTCCTGTAATACACAGACATCTCCATAGACACTGTTGTGCAGAGATGGGTTACATTGCTATTAGTCTTCAATAACCAATAGGACTGGCCTAACTGGTGTGTGGAGATGAACCCCCTGCAAAAATGTTCAATGCCTCCCAAAAGCATGCCCTCTTCCAGCAATTGGTGAAGCTGGGCTATGAAGGGGAGAAGAAATGTTTCTTCATTATGTGGGCGAGCAGGGAGACTGGCAGTCAGGTGCATCTGGCTACCCAGTAGCCATGGCATAGCAGGTGGAGTCACTGGAATGTCACCATTGGGAAAGCATCTGCCTGAATGCCATGACAAGAGGGCAGTTTGGGTGACCCTCCATTGCCACACTCTGCACTGCAGAAAGAGGGCAAGGCAGGAAAGGAGGCATTGGCTCACACTCCCAGTTTGTTTTCATCTGTCAGCAAAACCAGACTGGCTAAATGGCACCTTGACATCATCCCATTCCTTCCATCATCCCTGACTGGCTACCCTCTATCACAGTTCCGAGGAAGACCCCATTAATATTTTTTATTTTAAAAAAATATGATAGTAGCAATGCCAGAATAGTATCCAAGAGAGACATCTTGGAGGGAGAGGGCTTTGAAAATACCACCAAACCATCTGACACAACCTTAGTAAATTAATATAGTTAATAATAGCATACAGGAAGGTTGTAAAATGGGCTTATGTTGATACTGTACAGTATATCCAAATTAGTCTCCCAGAAACTGCTTTAATCAAAGAAAAAGAGGCCAGGAGACTTGTACATGAGTTTCCCAAGTCACGTTGAGTTTGCCCCAGGAAAAAGCAAACACCACCAATTCTAAAAGAGAAACCAACAAGAATCTACTCTTAGTGTGCCTAAACCTGTCATTTTACTTTATGCTATACTGGAGTAATGGCGTTTACAAATTTTGTAAGTTTGCATTGAAAATAAACCAAATGAAACTCAGAGGCATCTCCACTGGACAATTTCTCAGTAGGCAGAAGATGTTGCTCTAGGACTGCTAGCCACATACAGTAGCTATTTAGAATGCACAGCCAGTCAGAGAAAAGAAGAGTCAACGCTACAAACATGGTCAAATACACAGAGAGTCAAGACCAGACTTTTAAAAGCTGAGCACTTAATACCTTCTCCCTAGACCAACATCTCCCACAACAGGACTTTTTCCCTTACACTGTTGAACTTAATGAGAGAATCAAAAAATTTCTGCAAAGTTCTCATCAACACGTGAAGGAAATAAAATTCTCATCCAACCCTAATGCCCTTACTTGTCTAAATATTCTTTAACGTGTAATATGCTTGCAAACCATTGAGGTTGGATAGTAAAAACCAGAACAGAATTATCTTGAAACGGAGAACCGAAAAAACGCCTGGTAATTATTTCATGTTCCTTCCCATAAATCAGTTTCACCTTGTTTTGCAAGCCTTCATTTCAAAGCTTTCTTATGTTATGCTCCATATGCAATTTCTTCCCTAGTTAGGCTGCGCTTGCCAAAGAAGGAAGGAAATCGCTTGGTTTACACCAGGGGTTTTAAACTCACTTTACCTGGGGGCCGCTGGAGGCAGAGTCTCGGTGAGGCTGGGCCGCATCAGATTTTCCGCCAAGCGGAGCAAGAGCCCGAGGAAGCCGCCCAGGAGTTTCCTTAGCTAACAGACAGGCGGGCTGGCTGGCAGGCTGCAGTTCTGGATATACTGTAGGGTGCAAGAGGTGCTGTCTTGGGAGAGAGCCGGCGAGCGAGGCGAGGCTTTTTTTTACTCTTGACAGCAGAGAATGTGTGGGCGCTTTGGGGGGCAGGCAAGGCGAGGGCCACAAACTATCATCTGGAGGGCCGCAAATGGCCCCCGGGCCACATGTTTGAGACCCCTGGTTTACAATCAACACCTACAAATCTAACTTCATTCCTCCTTAGGATAGAACAGTTTCTGCACCATCTATGTTTAAAAATATTTATTCTCATGCCCACACCAAGCATGTCAGTCACATATTTAGCAATCACAGGAATGTTTTGGTTTCTAGAAAGTGAAGAGCAGACAGGAATACTCCCAACCAGACTGAAACTGCAATGGGGATAGGAGGGCTAGATAACAAAGGATGGCAGGGCTCGTGCACCTCCAACAGCCATAGAGAAAATGGGGCAGCTTACACTGGTTCCTTCTTTCCTATACCTAATAAAGGTGCAGAAACTTGTAGTCCTCTTTTTGATTTAGTCATTCTAAATAAGTTTAAAAAAAAAAAAAAAAGACATTCACACAATAACTAGTCATGTGTTTAATTCAACATCTAATTTACTAATGGGCCAAATCCTGTTGCTTAGTGTAGTAAGCTGGACTTAGGAGTAGGGCCATTGAAGAATGGGCCCACTAAATGGCATTCAATGAATCAATTCCTCTGTAAGTTCTACTGATTCAATTGGGCTTACACTAACGGTGACTTCCTAGTCCGATTTACGATGCTAAGCAACAGGATTTTGGCCTCTGCTGAATTGTTCTAGCTCTCAAACAGTACAGTTCAACAGAGTCAGTTCCAAATGGAAACAGTAAAGGATTGCAACAGCAGAACAGACCAACAGGTCTTAGCAAAAGAAAAAAGAAAACATCCACTGAGAAAAAGTAGTTACAATGGTAGTATACAAGCAGAGGTGGGCAAAGTGCAGTCCATGAGCCACATGCAGCCTCCCCAGTGCGCCCCAGAAACCTTAAAGCAAATAATCAATCAATCAATCAATCAATCAATCTGGACACCTCCTGTTTGCTTCTCTTCCTCCTAAAAAATGGGTATTTTCAACCATTCCTGCACCTTAGTGTGCCCCAGTTCAGCAGCCTGCCCCCTCCCATAGTGCTGCTGCTGAGTCTGCACCTGCTGGAGGGGGCGCATATCAGCTGTTTGTCCAGGAAATGAATCGTCAAACCAGAGGTTCATGCTCGTCTCTAATTTGCAGTATACCTAGAGGAACAGGGTTGCTAGGACCACAGGAGCTGCGTGGGATCAGACAGCCCATCACCCTGAGGCAGGTGTTTTAATGAAGCCCCTTGTCTCAGGGGAAGCACTTCTTTAGTGCTTTGGCAAAGGACCTCCTCCTTCAGCCACTGCCACCACTGCTTCACAGAGCAATGATCCCCAACCTGGGGGCTGCCAATGATTGCAGACTGTAAGTCTCCGAATCCCTAAAAAATGCCACACCTTTAGCTCTCTAAACTGAGCCTTTGGGGCATTTTACTCCATTTATAAGACCAAGCATGGGACACCATCATTTTCAAACTAACTGAATTTCTCTTTTAAAGAGGAATACATTTTACAGATATAAGTCCTTCCTACAGAGAGGCATCTGAACGGTCACTGTTTACAGGTAAAACACTCATAAAGTGTTATTTTCCACCTGAGATGTTGTGCATTTTTTCTGCCATTGGTCTAAAAAAATAAAATAAAGGAGAGAGAGAGAGAGAGAGAGAGAGAGAGAGAGACTGAACATTATGCTAATTTGAATGCCCTATTTACCTCAGGAGCAGTCAGAAATGCAATATCTACCATTACTCCTTCTCTTCTTTCCTATCCTGTAGTCCAAAAGATCTGAAAGCGATCAGGTGAAGGAAACCTGAAGTTCACCTTCTGCTTCTCCATTCCTCTCCTTCAACATGGTAAGAGTCTGGTGGAACCAGGGAGATCCCATGTGGGAGCAACTCCTGGCTGACAAGAGGAAACTCTCCTCCCGTCCAATAATGGCTTTCTCTTGGCTTGCACTGGGGGAAAGGGGGGGTGGAGGAGAGGGGAAAGGCTACCAGAATTGCTTTGAATGCCTTCCATAAAGATCAAGGTTGCCAGATGTAAATCCTTGAGACCTATGATCCCAAAAGGAGATCACATCTTATCAGGCCTTTAACAGAACCAATGGAACTGATTCACCAAGAAATGCTAATACATATCTGAGTATTATCTCCCACTTCTGGTGTCACCTCATATGGGCCTGATGTGTCCTGATCTCAACCCAAACTGATTTTTGAACTTTTAAACACTTTTTCCCTTTGCTTGCTTGCATTTTAAAATTCAAGTTATGCCCCCAAGCAGTAGTTGGGCTCTATCCAAGGCAAGGCCTGAGTCATCTGCCCTGCTTCCAGAATGGGAGCTGCAGGTCCCTTTCTTCCCATGACCAGCCAGGGCACCGTTTCTTCCTTCCCCAAATAGCACTAAGAAGGAAAGGAGAGGGTGAACTTAAGATTCACAGACAAGCTAGAAATACCAGTGGAGGATGCGTTAGCTGGCTGGTTTGTGAGGAAGCCAGTAAAGGCTGGGAGTGGAAGAGGCTGAGCAGCGAGCAGTAGGTGTAATGTGATGGGCAAGTATCTGTGATGGAAGGGATGATCCCACATTGACAGTCAGATAGAAGCACTGCCTGATGACAGGGTCAGGCCCTGGATACAGAGATTAGCATGTGTGTGTTTTTTTAAAAAAAACATGACTTTTAAAAGTATAAACTTAACCCAATGTGTAAACTTATTCAATAAATGCACCTGCTAGGAAAATGAAGAGCTTATACCATGCCACAGGGAATACTGCTATTGATACAGTGGGGTCTTGACTTGAGAACTTGTAATGTGATGGGCAAGTATCTGTGATGGAAGGGATGATCCCACATTGACACTCAGATAGAAGCACTGCCTGATGACAGGGTCAGGCCCTGGATACAGAGATTAGCATGTGTGTTTTTTAAAAAAACATGACTTTAAAAAGTATAAACTTAACCCAATGTGTAAACTTATTCAATAAATGCACCTGCTAGGAAAATGAAGAGCTTATACCATGCCACAGGGAATACTGCTATTGATACAGTGGGGTCTTGACTTGAGAACTTAATCCGTATTGGAAGGCGGTTCTCAAGTCAAAAAGTCTGTAAATCAAGTCTCCATTGAGCTACAGTACATTGAAAACCGATTAATCCCATAACAGGCCGTTTTTGTTCCATTTTGGTTTTTTTCTGGTCTGTAAGTCAAATCCCAGTCTGCAAGTCAAACCTAAATTTTGCGGCCAGAGAAGTCTGTAACTCAAAAAGTCTGTAAGTCAAGCCATCTGTAAGTCAAGGGTCCACTGTATCGCTCTCATGTTCATCCTACTGTAATTGACAACCTCTGCATCTTGATCTTCCATTATTTCTGCATCCCATTTTCTGATTTAAACATTTTTATAGGTAGCTACTCTGGGGTCAATCAGCACAACTCAAAGGCAAAGCAACACTTGGAAGTTCCATTTGTTTATTTTAATAGGGCTCCATCAGAGAAAATAATGTAAGGTCTTCAGGGAGATAAAAAGCATAGTCTTCAGTACTGGTGACCCTGGCACAGCTGGTTGAAGACATGTACAAGACAACAGATGTGACTCTCCTATTCGTAGAATATACCTTTCTAAATCACACAGATCAGCAAACTTACCAAGACCACTGCATGGTAGGCTTTCTGCAGTTCTTCCACAGTTATGTCCTTTCCCACGGTCACATTCCCAAAATAGGCACAGCGATCCAAGCAGGCCGTCTGAGTAAATGTGTTGATCACATTCTGTTGGGAGAGGTCAAGAGAGGTCCCATCTAAGAAGTTCTCCCCGCCAGCCCCACAGCGCCCAGGCAGGTGAATGACAAAGGTCCTCAATGACTTTGCCGCATCTGAGACACCATCTCCCTTTCCAATTCATGCCACTTCTTTTGAAACTCTTATCAGACAATAGGTAAGAACGTCTCATTTTAAAATAATAATGTTATCTGTGATCTGGCGCCAGGCCAGGCAGCTTCACTGAAAAAAAACACATCTATTCTGCCCCTTCTCCCAGCCTATAGGGTATGGCTGGGGGGCGGTAGTCAGTTTTGTTGTGAGTGGTGACCATTTTATTTATACAGTGTCACACTTAGGTTATGGAAAGAGCCCTACAGGAATACCATATCCATTCATTCAGAAGTGTCTGTTTAAAAAAAAGGCACAATGGAAGCAGAACTATAATGACCTTGCACAAAAATCAAATCCAAACCCCCATATACACAATTTAATACCTAATAAACTGTATTATTAGTTGATCTTGTTTTTTAAAAAAATCTGGCAAAATGAAAATGCCAGATGTAAAAACACCCCACAACCCCCCAATAAGAGTATTGCACAGATCTGTAAATGTGTGTGTAAAGGTAAAGGTTCCCCCTGACATTTAGTCCAGTCATGTCCGACTCTAGGGTGCTCATCCTCGTTTCCAAGCTGTAGAGCCAGCGTTTGTCCGAAGACAGTTTCCGTGGTCATGTGGCCAGTGCAACTAGACACAGAATGCCGTTACCTTCCCACCGTGGTGGAACCTATTTATCTACTTGCATTTACATGCTTGTGAACTGCTACAGTAGGTTGGCAGGAGCTGGGACAAGCAACGGGCTCCCTCCATCGTGTTGATTCGATCTTACATGACTGCTAGTCTTCCGACCTTGCAGCACAGAGGCTTCTGCGGTTTAACCCGCAGTGCCACCACATCCCTTAAATGTGTGTATACATTATTACAATTATTGCTGCTTATCTCTTAGAAAGTGCCTATATTTCCATATACAGTTTTCATACCCTGAAAAAAGCCCTGCCTTGAGGAACTAGGAAAAGGAGGGGGGGAGGGAAAAGGGAAGGGGAAGTCAAACAAGTTCAAGTACCAATGCTCAATTATGTTGATTTAATCAGCATCATCTGAGCTGGACATGTGGGGCTCCCTATCGTTATGTACACACAAACCCAGCAACCCAACAACACATGAACGTGCTTCCCAACAGTTCTGAGGTCCTTAGCAGTCATTTCTTAGCTGTTCTCAATCCTACAGCCAGGGCTTGAAAAATTTTAGAATGCCTTAACAGTCAGCCAAAAATTTCACCAGTCAGCATGACCGGACCAAACCCTAGCAATTTATGTTTAAACTTAAATTTAGATTTAAACTAGGCACTTTCTACATAACAATGCGTACAAACCCAAAATAAATATACCCTCAGACTTGGGTTGCTTTATTACCTGCATGGCTGTGGGGTCATGAAGCTTGTATTCTGAATGCCTTTCTTTGAATGTCTCCAGCAAAAATAAAACAGAAAGCAAAAGCGTCCAGCCTCTTAAGGAGCCAGGTCATTCAGTTGAAATTGGGAGAAGGGAATCTCCATATTCTCCAGCATGGGACTACATTCTCCTGCAGAGCTATACAGTATATCTATGTGCCTCTCTTCTCACGATAAGAGGGCTGATTTTCCTTTTGCAATGGGAAGGGGGAGGGGAGGACTGCAGGATCAGACAGACAGACAGACAGGGGTAAGGAGGTAAGGATGGAGGGAGCTGTGGCTCATTAAGCAGCGTTTTTTCACTCATCACAGACAAGTGGATTTTTCAAGCCCTGCCTACAGCAGTTTCTCTCTTTTTGATATAATACCTATGGTGAGGAGGAGGTTTCCTATTGACATAGTCTGCTGCCACTTACATATTACACTTAGAAAACAATAGGAAAAATACTTAAGACAGGAGGAGAAACTTTGTCACTGACCACCCGAGGCACTCCACCTCTTAGCCAGGCTTAGGGCCATGTGGCTTTCCATCATTTAACATCCTTCTGCCCAAACTGCTCCTCTCCTACTCAGCTTGGATCTCTCAGACACTTTCCATCTACTCTGTAGAGGTCCAACTGATTTTAGGACTATTTAGTCTCCTCGGAAGGGACTCAGACCAGAATACTTCCTTCATGGCAATCGTATAATGTATGTGCATCTTTTCAGCAGCTGGTTTGGCTGACGTTACAATTCTACTTTTCAGTCAACCAAGCAGCTGAGTCTGGTTTTTCCCAGAAGTTAACTCTCATATCCTGCCTAGTGTGATCTGACAGGTTTACATGTCAAGGCCCAAGAATCTCTGCATCACCAACTAAGAGAGGGAAGGAAGAACAGCTAAAGGCGGGGTTGTCAACTCCGGCAAATCCATGAGCCAATCCCATGGGACCCATTATAGGTTACATCATGCCCCACCAGTGCAAGAATCTAACACTTCACATCTAGTTTCCTCATTCTGCAATTTTGGGAGCCTTTCTTGGTGTAAAGTAGTACACCCCGTGTTGTACTTTCTACAGAACAGTGTATCTTGTTTTTGTTTTAATTATTATTTATTAAGCATTAAAATATATTAATTAAACATTAAAATCACTAAAATAGAAATTATATTTAGGTCTCTGGGATTACAAAAATGAGTCATGTCCATATGTTAACTTGTGAACCATACGTCTAACTCCTGAGAGGCATTTTCTTTACAAAACATGGTCCCACACCAATTTTTTCCTAACAACTCGAAGGCCATTTGCAATCTCTGGTCCCCATCCAATCTGTTGGGCCCTATCCTTGACTGCCGGAACAAATTAGAAAAGTATCACCAACCTTGACTTCTGGATGGTCCGGAGCGACTCCAAAACGAACCAGGCCAAAGGGAACTGGCAGCTTCTCATAAATATCCACCCGAACCAGTTTGTGGTGCTGAAGAAGATGCTCTGATCAATTAGCACGGGTAACAAATAAATGAAAAACACATACACATGCATAAAGAAAAGCTCAAGTGATTTTAACTAAAGTTATTGTCAGAGTGATCTGGACATAGGCCACACAACAATTCCTTTTCCCTTCCACGTTTGAAGCCTAGCTGTTGAAAACAGAGGCAAAAGTTTCTAATTTCCTCCTTTTAAAAACCACTGGAAATATAAAAAGCTGGGCTCTGTGCCTGGCTACTGGGCGATAATGCTGGTTGCAGGGGCATGGCCAAGCTGCACAGCTCCAAAGCTCTTCCGAGTACTTAACACTGAGAAAATCTGGGAAGGGGTGCTCTAAATCAGAATCAAATTGACAGCACATTAATAGAGCACTAGCAGTAGCAGTAAATCTAGCCACCACTTGTAGACACCTTATATAAAGCTCGTACAACTTTCTTTCATGTTCTCTATTCACAGGGGAATGACATCTACGTAGCAAGTTTAAACTGCACACCGAAACAAATGTCAGTTCTGTGTAAATGCCATCAAACTCAGCAGGTCTTACTTTGGGGGGGTAAATATGCTTAGAATCGCTCTCTTAAGAGAAGACCAGTACTACCATAAATCTTAATTAATAGCTTGATGGAAGTGAACCAGATAGAATAATCCATATATATGAGACTCGCTATGTAAGTATTTGCCAGTATTAAAGCACTGATTGCAGATTGTAACCTTCTAACCTGAAACAGCCAAACAGTTACTTCTTGGTAGGGTACAGACTGTATGAGGAATAAAACCTCAATTCAGATTTAAATACTTATTCAAGGTTTTTATATTTGGACTTTATTGCTTCCAAAAGAGATTTCCCTCAAGACCTGGTAATCTATTTGCTACTCCTTATTCTTTAACATGAGAATAGAAACAATAGAATTGGGAAGTGGGTGGAATTTAAAGCAGACAAAACATTTCAAAATTCAGCTAAGTCGCACTACACATTTAAACGTTTCCCACCAGAAATCAACTCAACTCTCAAGAGTTTCCCACCAATAAAACTGGGAATGTAGCTCTCTGAAATGGCTAGGGATTATTGTAGGGTCACCAAATAGCGGCATAGCTGTTATTGCCAGCACGTTCCCTTATTCATGCCCCGAATCGTATCACAAGTCCAGTATGGCTTTGGAAGGTCCCGGTTCAAATCCTCACTCACAAGTTTACTAGGTGACATCTGTCTGTCTGTCTGTCACCCTGCCTCATAGGGTTGTTGTAAGAATAAAATGTGCAAAATTCTACTTGGGTCCTTGAGCTATTTAGAGAAAACATATAAATTCAATGAACAAGTAAAAACAGAAGCAGATGCTTCTTTTCATTGTAAAAGAAGACTTCTGCAAGTCTCTAATAGGGCTACATAGGCGGAAGCTTCAACACAGATAAACCAAACAAAAGAGGCTTGCAAAAGTTGGATGCACTATCTCAGATCCCCTTTTTTATTTTTATTTTATTTTATTTGCCCTCGGTAATGTCCTTGAATAGCTGGAGAAAGGCCATAACATCCATTTCCTTCCTGAGGATCAGCCTGCCATGCCTTACAGGATTATCTTCACAGTTAAATCTGGCTATGGAGTGTGAACCTTGGTTATATTGTTTTGCTCATTTACAACCAAGGGAGAACTCTGAAGTTTAAAAAAAATCAGGAAAATGGAAAGACCCTAATTTAATGGCATCTTATCCTTCGGCAAATCAAAGCACAAAGCACTTTCCCACCCAATTACCATCTCTTCCCCCAGTATTTCACTGCACCTACTTTCCTGCTAGAAATCTCCTGCAAGCGCCTCTGAAGTGCTAATGAGACCTGCCTATATACAAGTGCAGACATTATCACACACACACACACCCCAGGTGGGGTTGGGAGGGAGCCTCTGCGCAAAGTCCTGAAGCTCTCTTTGCCTTTCTATTTCCACCATGCAAACCTAAAAGCCTCTGGAGGATTAAGGCCATTATCTGCTACCAATTCAAGGCAACTAAAACAAGGACCATTCTTTCTAATTTACAGTTGTGAGACAGAATTTATGCTTGTTTTTGTCTAGTTTCATATTTGCATTTTCATCCCTTCTCTCTAGCTGTAGAGAGAGATCTTGAGTAAGCCTAAGATTTGCTACAAGCATCAATATGTATTACATTTTTGTACAAAGAGGTCCACACTGATGTTCAAGGATGGGCATAATTTACAATCTTGAAATGGCCATTGTACCATACCTTATTATCTGCTGTTCTGAATCAGCTCCCTGGCTTGTTTGTCCCGCTCCTCTGTGTGTGTCTGTGTGTCTGTGTGTCTGTGTGTCTGTGTCTGTGTCTGTGTCTGTGTCTGTGTGTGCGTGTGTGTGTGTGTGTGTGCGCGCGCGCACGCGTGTGTCTCCCTCTCAACCAGACACAACTCTGGATAGCTCAGTGGTCTCCTAGACAGGGGTTGGACTCAGTGATCCATAGGGCTCCTTCCAGCTCTGCAATTCTAAGCTTATAACTCTGTTACAGCAGTACGGATGATTATGCTTGAGTTTAAACCAGGAATCTGATTATCGCTCTTTGAAAAATGAAACAAAAGCAATAACTCTAGAGCACCACCTACAGGTTTCTGTCACCCTCTGCACTGGGGATGTGAAGAAGACTCAATAAACTCCAAATTCTTGAGGATTCTCGCTGTCTTGCCTTAATAATTTTTATTGTTATTTCTTTATTTATATGCCACCTTTCTCCCATTAGAAGACCCAACATGGCTCACAACAGATAAAATAAGAAGGATTTTTTAAGCCCCAAGAGATTTCACATCTCCTAAGCAAATCAAAACAACATGCCCAATGCTTCAGAACCCATAGGCAGCCCCAAACTAACATCCGTCACTGCGACACTGACCATTCCATAAAAATAGTTTGCACCAGCAAGCCCATGGACACGTTTTTACAAAACCAGCAAGCATTGTAGGTTTGCACAATTTGCACAAACTTGTCCTTGTCCGTGTGAGAACTCTTGGCAAGAGATGCCACTGCCAAACAAAGTGAGACAGGAAAGGGTTTGGTTTGGACAGCGGCATTCCAGCTGCAATGTGGTCTTCCCAAACAGGCAGGCTTGAAGACTACTCTGCAATCCTTTGGGTGTCAGGCAAAAATGCTTTGTTCATACCACGACTTATCAACTCTCCAACATTAAAGATCAAGATGGTTCAAAATGTGTCATTCCAAGGTCTATGTCCCTTACAGGTTTGCACAGGACCTTTGGAAGCACATGGCAAGGATGCAAGGCTGATTGTGGTCCCTTTGGAAGCCCTTACAACAATTAAAAAACAACCCAAATTATCCATATGTAAATAGGTCACTTACCTTGAGGAGATGCTGTGCTGTGTAGAATCCAGCAGGCCCACTTCCTACAATACATACCCGAGGTATTACTTCAGATGTCGAAAAAGATCTCTTGATACCTGAGGAGAGAAATGGATTTATTCACTGACTGACGGACAGACTGACTGACTGACCATGCCATTTTTCTCCCCATAGGGCAGCGGTCCCTAACCTTTTTGGGGACTGAAGACCGTTGGGGGGGGTGCAGGCTCCGTGTGCGGCCCGGTTGGGGGGCGGGGGGGCATGCTTGTGGAGGGGCGTGTCACACTTGCGGAGGAGAGTGTCACGCTTGTGCACATGCTGTAATTCATGATCTCAAACTAGGAGTGCCAAAGGCTGTGGAACCTTCAGAGAGTATATGAGATTGTTAAAAAAGACCCACGGAATCCCCAAATGAATTCCTGAC